ATCTTTTATTTAAATTATTTGATAAAGCTGTTTTAATTATTCTATTTATACACAATGCAAACATGCTCATGAATGAGTTGGCTCTCTGTGTTTTGAGGGCCATAAGCTTTGTCCGGCACTATGCCTGTGCTGAAATATTGAAGAGTGGACGTAGAGCGCTTGAGGGTCCTTTTTTTGCTGATAATGGTTACAATATGGTTACAATAAGTCTCTCTGGGTCAGGAAGTCCAAACAGTCCAAACAAGATGTCCTGAACTGGGTCTTAAAATCAGCTTAAAATCAGCTGAGGGACAATATTAGACAATATTAGATAATCAAGGCTACGTAGGGTTATTTTGTCTTCTGTCTTTCTCTTTCTTCTCTGTCTTTCTGATTCCAGGAGGAGCAGATACAAGGCAAGGTTGGACTGAACGGAGTGGATTGGAAGGGAGCCATCAAGAGGGGTGCTGGGAGAAGATAATAATTGTTTGTTATTGTCAAAGTATAAAAGCTGCACAGCCCGTTTCAGGGATAACCTTAGTGTGAGGCAGACTGTTGTTTCACACCACGGTCCAGCGCGGTAACTTCTAATTTCAACTGTGAAAGAAAATTAAATCTTTTAAACGACAGATGTTTCTGACAATTCTGAACATGACACACCTCACAGCAAGATGGTCCTGGGTTTAAATTCAGGGTGGGGATTTTCTCTGCAGAGGTTAGATGTTCTTCCTGTGTCTCTGCGGGTTCAATCTGAGGAATCAATCTTCCTCCCACAGCTCAAACACACGCAAGTTAGGTTAGCTGATTATCCTAAATTAGCTAATTGTCTGTATATGTTAGCCCTGCCATAGATTGTTGACCTGCTCAGTGTGTACCCTGCCTTTAAAACAGCAGCGTAAATGACCAGTATTTCTGCGCAACTTCACAGACACAGCATGTCTATGCAGTATTTCTTTAACACTGTGAGTAACTGCACCACCTAGTGGTGACAGAGTGAAATGGCAGGGTCATTGATATCAGCTCCACCCATAAGAGAGTAAATGAAACCTAAAGATTCGCTTTGTCGATCTGACGGGAACGCCATTACACTAAAGCTTAGGATCTGTACTGAAGAATACAAATTAGCTCAAAAGTCAAAGGAACTGTATTTCGGTGAGTCTTGTCCTTTAAGTTATCTGATATTATCACGGATGGCTGAAAGAGCTCTTTTTGAAAATTTCCTGAGCTGCCATGTGTGTTCAGAGACTTTCAGAGATCCTGTGTCTCTGAGCTGCAGCCACAGCTTCTGTTCAAGCTGCCTGCAGAAATTCTGGGAACAAACTAAAAACAAAAACTGTCCCATTTGTAAAAGAAAATCTTCAAAGGATGAAACATCTATAAACGTTTCTCTCAAAGAACTTGCTGACTCCTTTGCTAAGAGACACAGTGAGAGCTCACCTGAGGCAGAAAAAGAAAAGGAGGAAGAGAAGGAGGAGGTGGTGTGTGATAAACATCCAGACGTCCCTTACTGGTACTGTGAGGATGAAGACAGAGCTGTGTGTCCTGTGTGTGAGTTTTCTCTCCACCAGAGTCACAAAGTGGTTCCTGTAGAAGAAGCAGTCAGTGACCTGAAGGAGCAGCTGAAATCTGACTTAAAGTCTCTGCAGGACAAGAGGAACAAATACAAACAAGTGGAGGAAACATACAATGAAATGAGGGAACACATGAAGAAGCAGCTGTTGTCCACAGAGAGGCAGATCAGAGCAGAGTTCAACAAGCTCCAGCAGTTCCTGAAAGAGGAAGAGGAGTCCAGACTGGCAGCTCTGAGGGAGGAAGAGGAGCAGAAGGGGAGGACTATCAGCAGAGAGATGAAGATGATTGAGGAGCAGATCTCCTCTCTGTCAGACAGCATCTCTGCTGTTGAAGAAGAGCTGCAGAAACACAGCGTGCCATTCCTCAGCAGTTATAAAGACACTCAGAGCAGAGCCAGAGCCCAGAGCTCAGTGTCAGATCCACAGCTGGTCTCAGGAGCACTGATAGATGTGGCCAAACACCTGGGCAACCTGTCCTTCAGAGTGTGGGAGAAGATGAAGGAGAAGGTCCACTTCAGTCCTGTCATTCTGGACCCAAACACTGCAAACTGCTGTCTCTATCTGTCTGATGATCTGACCAGTGTGAGCGTGGAGACACAAAGCAGCAGCTTCCTGATAATCCAGAGAGAAACACTAAGTATCATACTGTTTTTGGCTCTGAGGGCTTCAGCTCAGGGAAACACAGCTGGGAGGTGGAGGTGGGAGACCATCCTGCTGGATTGTGGGTTTAGTTAAAGAGTCAGTTGAAGGAAGGGAGAGTGTTTGTTTCACCAAATATGGAATCTGGTGTTTAACACATCGCAGTGGAAAATACACTAATGGTGTTGGTCGACTGTGACAGTGAAGAAGAGTCTCCAGAGGATCAGAGTCCAGCTGGACTATGACAGGGGGGAGGTGTCCTTCTATGACCCTGAAGACATGACTCTGATCTACACTCACAGAGACACTTTGACTGAGAAACTCTTCCCATATTTTAACATTGGAGAGGCAGGAGACGCCAAAACCTCTGATATCAAAATCTGTCAGACTGAGATTTCTCTGAAAACTGCAACGACGTCTCTGTGAACCTTTCTTCTCTTGTCTCATCCTTTTAGTTACAGCTTGTTTTGTGGTTGTTTGTTTTTCAATTTAGGCAACTCCTGTTTTTATTTTTTATGTGAGAAATTGCAGAAAGTAAGATTTGTATCTGAAGCATTTTATACAATGTGATAGAAATCATTTTCAAAACACAGTAAAATTAAATAATAAAAGTCATTTTTGCTTTGTTTTCTTGCAAATTCAGTTTGAAGGTCCTTAAAACTTTATATTTATTTCTTCTCTTTTTGGTTGATTTTTTGCCTTTTTTGACAAATATATAGCAGTTTCAAGTCATTGGGTGTTCATGAAACAGTTTTTAAACATTTAAACAGTGCGAAGTTGAACAAACTTCCTTGTGTCAGACATTGATGAACAAGCACTAATAAATGTCACTTTCCTTTCCTTCATCAGTTATTTAGATCCATATCAGCTAATAACAGCATCGTGACAATTTGTGTTTTAATGGTTTCAAAATGATAAATAGACTTGACTCATAAATAATCCTAATGTCTTCTTTTAATACTTAACTGTCAGTGATTCATTTAAGTGATTTGCTTCATTTAAATGTGTTTCTTATAGCATGTTCTCCATTATGTTGCAAAATAAACCAAACTGTGTAGGTTGTCATAATAATTCAGCCATGTTTTTCTTTAAAATGTGTCATTGCAGAATAATGTTGACTGTCTGACATTTATTCAGTTGTATTCATACAAACTAAAGTTCATTCTTTGTTTTTAGATTGTTCCTAAGTTCTGTGTAAATTGCTTTGTCAGATACAGACACTGTTTTCTTTGCTACTGACTGACCCGAAACATTTATTTCATAATTGTTGAACATTTGTACAGTTGGAGCTGCTGTTTGTTCCAGTGTGTTTCTGTGAACTCTCACTTCATATTCCAGATCACATCAGCACAATCAGGATTTGGTCTTGTTAACTGTGGATTTCCTGTTTTTCACCTGTAGAGCAAATGTGATGAAAATGTCGGAAACATGAGTTCCCTGATTTCCTGGATTATTTTCCGTGAATAAATATATCGAAGCCTGTCTGATGTGTCTGTAAACACAGAAGGACGCTGAACTTTCTATTTAAACTGTCATTTTATTGATAACACCTTAACACATTTTCTTGAAGTTAGAGAAACACGTGCATCATGTAAGAGAATAGAGCAATAATCTGAAGAATCAGAGAGTTTGAGGATTAATATTATTATACAGAAGAAATCTAAAGTAGCAATAAGAGACAAAAGGTAAAGTAAGAGGAGAAAACTTCATGTAGTTTGTGTGTAGGGCTGCACAAAAAACCTGTTTATTATTTAATCGTTGATAATTCAAACAGAATGATGATTTATTAGAGGCATCAGTGCCATTTTAGTCCCCACTGTGCAGCCCTGATGTTGTTGGTCAGACTGTGACAGTGAAGAAGAGTCTCCAGAGGATCAGAGTCCAGCTGGACTATGACAGGGGGGAGGTGTCCTTCTATGACCCTGAAGACATGACTCACATCTGCACCCACAGAGACACTTTCACTGAGATTCGTGTAATATTGGAAAAGCAGGAGATGCCAAAACAACTGATAATAACCTGTTTTAGACTTTTAGAGCTTTTCATTGTAGTTCAGTGAGATCTCAGTGAATTTCTTTGCTTTGGTTTATTTTAAATTTTTGTGTAAATTATTGTGAATGTATTTGTTTCATCTTTCAATCTTTAATCAATTCCATCAATTTCTTTCTATGTGAGAAAACACTAAAATATCTCTTGGAGTAAATGAAATGTACAACATGAACTGCTGATGACTGAAACAGAACAGTCATGTGTTCATTTCTTGTCATTTAAGGTCAAGAGCCGTCACTACAGGCCTGCAGGCAGAAATCTGAGAAGCCTGATCTGAAACTTTTCTGTTAGTCACTGTGATTTGGAGCGACTAAAAGTGATCAAAAACCCTTGAAATAACAATTTGACTAGTTCATCTTTTGGTTGTTTCAGTGGCTGAAACACTAAAAATAATGTTTTTTTCTTCTTTTTTGGACACCTGCTGTATTTGAAAGCAATTTGAGTCTTTTTAATTATTATTGTTGCATGGAGGATTTACAAAACTCACTGAAGATGTTATAATGAAAACACTGAACATTTTGAGTCTCAATGAAAACCTCATCAGGCAAGTCTTGATATAAATACTGAAGCTGAGAACATTTCCTCTGTATTTGTATTTGATACTAATTAGTCTTATTAACTGTGGAGTTCAAGTTTTTCTCCTGATGAACAAAAATTGTGAAAATATCAGAAAAACAAGTTCATTAATCTCCTGTTTTTTTCTGTCAGTTAAATATATCAAAGCCTGTCTGATGTGTCTGTAAACACAGAAGGACGCTGAACTTTCTATTTAAACTGTCATTTTATTGATAACACCTTAACACATTTTATTGAAGTTAGAGAAACACGTGAAGCACGTAAGAGAACAGAGCAATAATCAGAAGAATCAGAGAACTAGAGGATTAATATTATTATACAGAAGAAACCCAAAGTGACAAAAAGAGACAAAGGAAAAGTAGAAAGAGCCAACTGCAGAGAAATGATGGAACAAGGTTGGAAACAGAGAGAGTGGGGAAAGAGTGAAAGACACCCTATGAAGAGAAGCCGGCTCAGTGTTGTCAGTGCAGCTCAGTCAGTGACTGTAAAAAGAAGATGGCAGAAGTTCAGAGTGGCTCCAGCTCATCTCAGTGATGCTTCATCTGACTAAATAACAGGAAGGCAGCAGAGCTCACAGTGGCCTCAAGAGGAGGACACTTCATGTAGTTTATATGCAGGGCTGCACAATGAATCACTGTTCCTTATTTCACCTTTGATGATTCTTACAGATGATGATTTATTAGAGGCATCAGTTTCATTTTAGTCCTAACTGTGCAGCTCTGATCAATAATCTGAATGGAAGCTGGTTCTTCTTCTACACTGATGAACTGCTGATGTCTCTGACTGGATTGTCTGTTTGATCTAAAGTTATTCTGCAGCTACATTAGAAGCATCAAGCTGCCGTCAGTGTGCGTTTGTGCTTTATTTTGTGTGACAGCGCCCCCTGCTGGAGCATCTTTACTCTTTGAAGCAGCACTGACTCTTGGTGCTGACGGTCACTCAGCTATGTACAAAAGGCAGCCAGTCTGCACTGGCAACACAGAGCCCCATAGAGAAGCATGCCAAATAATCATCATCACATCATCATCATCATAACTGTCAACTTCCTCATAGTCATCCTCAGTTCTATAATCTATATATAATATTCCTTATCATTATAATCATCTTCATTATATCATCTGGAGACAAAAATAGTTATATGCACTTAAAAAGCTGAGAAAATAGAGAGAGAAAGGTCGAGTATACCAGCATTCAGTAGAAAATGAACCCAAATAAAAAGAAAAACACCAAAAAACAAGTAAAAACAAGTAAAAACAAGTGTCCTGTTGACTGTCATGCAAGGAAAAAAAGGCCAGCTACTCTGCTTGTTAGTTGCAGTTGTGTAATACTGTGAACTCCTTCATTTTAAATATGTGAATCTCATCATGATTTTAAAGTTTAGAAACACACAAAGAAGAACAGAAGAACGACACCTTTGTACTGTACATGCTGCTTTTTCTTCTTTTTCTGGAGGGAGGGGGTCATGTTAGCACGGTCACGCACATATGTGTGGTCAAAGGTAACCTTTGACCTTTGAGTATTAGAACAGGCTGAACTAGACATGAAAATCATTACTAGATGAGACACAAGTATGATACAACATCTCTGTTGTTTACTGCAAGAAAAAAAAAAAAGTTAATCTGACAAAATCTTCACCATCTTATCAAAAAGGCGAAGTGTTGGGTGGGACAGTTCACACAAAATACAGTCCTGTATCATATGAATTTCAAAGCAAACATGTATCCCACTCTGTAAAAGTGGTAATGACATTAAGTAGAAGGAAAAAATGGACAACGTAAAACAGCAAAAAATGTAAATCTGCAGAAGAAAAACAGCAGAAAAAGCAAAAGTCATTTCCACCATGTTGGTCGTTACACAAAAACACATGCAGAATGCAGATTGGGTGTACTATCCATTTAAAAGCAGTCATGTTTATACATGAAGCATCGTCTCTTTAAACAACTGCAGACAGCACTTGCACAAGTGCATGATTTGTACAATAGGAAAAGAAAAAAAAAAAAGCACAGTAAAAATGTCGACTACAATAAATAAATAAATATTCAAAATAAATTAAAACCTGAGGACTGTTCACCAAGACGACTGAGCGGTCTTTTTCTATCTTGGTCTGACCAATAGGGGCGAGACAAATGTGAAGGCAGCCAATGGTGGATGAGCAAAGTAAAGTGGAGCTGATGAAAAGTCAAACCTCCACAAAATCAGTTTTCAGTGCTGCAAAGTCCATCCGTTCAGTCCTGCCACCTCTGGCACAAGCACTTTATATCATAAAAAGCTGATAACACTTTACTGTAACACAAACAAACCAAAATAACAGAGTAAAAGCATGAAAAAAAGAAAAAAAAACACATGAAAGAAAGCAGATGAAAACAGTCCTGGGCTGAAGGCAGGGGACTGATGTGTCCTCCGAAAAAAAAAAAAGCCTTCTCATTTCATCATCCACACGGCACACACTTCCAAAATATCCTCCCAGGCTTGTAAAGAATACACACTGAAAGCAACCTATGTACATGCGTGCAGACACACTCACATAAATATTGCACCTGTGGCAAAAGACTAGCAAAATGCACACGCCCAGCCAAACGCAGCCTTCATTCTTCATCGCTGATATGGGCGTTACGCTGATCTGCGTGTGCTTCGTTTAGACGAAGCTGCAGCACCAGCGTGCTGTGCTGTGGCTCTGGAAGTGAGAAAGCTCAAACATCTACCGGGATCCTTTCTTCAATGTGCTGACTGCTTTTGTCATTTTGAGTGGGGGGGAAAAAGGACCTGCTGTTTTTCACCGAGATTTTTGGAACTTAAAAATACCTCACACGTTCAGGAAAGACCACAGAGCTCTGATATTCAGCTGTCGCCTAGCAAACAGCAGGACTCGCCCAACATCCCATCTCTCTGCCAAACACCTTTTCTGCACCACTGACCAGAAAATAAAACCATCTCCAGGTGGGGTGAAGGCTGAACCAGCATTCACAGAGATTCGTGAGAGAAGCAAGGTTTAGGAAACAGCACGTCAAAGCAACCCTGACCAGACTATTTCAGAACAAATTATCTGTACGCTATAATAATATTCAGCATATCTGATTCATTATTGGTTATAACAAAACACATTCACCTTCACAAGATGGTCACTATAAGATGAAATACATATATCTGATATTGTTTAATAAATTGTGGTCCTTTCTAACCTGTTTGAAAGTCTTGAAATCCATTAATAATTTAAGTTAGTACAGCACTTTGTTCCAATTCACATTGAGTTTCTTGCCGTGAGTTATTCTCCTGAAACTCTACAAGCGTTTCTTCAACACTGTAAAGTTTCAGTCGCAGGAACATTATTATTATTTGTCGTGCAGCAAATTAATTTTTTTTTTGATTTTTGAGCTTTTGGGAAATATTCTAAATTATAATGCAAACTTTAATTTCTTTTAACTGGGTTTTGCTGTTAATCGAGCCCAGTACAATACAGCCTCTATAAAAGTACTCCTCCCTGCTTCACCAAGCTAGCCGCCTGCTGACCTCGATCTAGTGTAAGTAATATACTGAATGTGAATAAATGCCTCATATAATTCACCTGAAAGAAGCCAAATTATCCCATCAAAAGAAATTATTTATAACAACCTAAGAGGCAACAGGCACTATGATGTACTCAGCTTCAGTTACTTTATAACCATTCCTAATCATCTGTGTTTTTTCAAATACCAGCAATGAATAGCCTTCATTGGAGCAGAGGTTTCACCGTGACACATTTTTCTTACAACAGCTTGATACATCCCTCTAGAATCAAGCATCCTGGTCACAGAGACAAACCTCTTCATGTCCATGTTCTTGTTACTGCTTCGTTTTACACCCATCAGCTCAGACAGTCCGAGATTAGGGCGTCACCGGTGTTGGAAAGTAGCACTCCTGCTGCATGCTGTTTGCTTTGATTTGAAGCCCAGTTAAGCAAACCTGTTCTCCTGTCTTTTACTTTGCAGCAAGGGAGAAACGACAAGTTCCTCCAACTGTACCGACTTATCGTGACTGGACTAACATGCACTTACTCAGCACACCCATACACACACTTCAGGGCTCGATCTCTACATGGACGCCCATCAGACGCACCCCTTCCAAAAAAAAAAAAAAAAAAAAAAAAAAAAAAAAAAAAGAAGAACAAAAAAGAAAATACAATTAAAATAACATTAAAAAATAAAACTGCAAACGCACAATCAAAAACATGTTAACCATGAGTTTGGGCACACTGTTATAGCTAACATACAAGAAGCAAATTACAAAAACTGCCAATATCATTTCCACTTAATAGCCACAATAAAAAACAGCCACTGTAAATATGGGGCAGGGGGACATGCTTCCTTAAAAAGATAGAGAAAAAAACGATTTTCTTTAACTCTAAAAACCACTGGCATCATCTGAATTATACAAATTACATATACAATTGCAAATGTGTAATAATAATTATAATAATAATCATAATAATAGAGTAATGATAATAGATTTTACTTAAAACTTTACATACTGTATTTCCAGTGCAGTGTTTATGTCGCACAAGTGTGGATTCACAGGAGGACAAGAGGGTTGGTGTCACAAAAGACCACAGGAAGGAATCACACCCAGTGCTGAAAAACACCCCCACCCCCATCAAACACCCAGCGTGCCGGAGGGAAGAAGAGGAAGTCGTGAGGGATGAAGGACGCTGCTGCTGTTCGACAGTTGTCAGAAGGTGCGGTAGGACAGGTGACAAACAGGGGGCAGTAGTAGTAAAAGAAGAGATGCATGCTGGGAGGGGGTTGAGGCCGGGCGTCCAGTTTGTTGTTGGAGGACAAAGAGCTCCCAGACCACTGCTGGACGTGTTCTTTCACCCCTTCCTCATCCTCCTCCTCTGCCTCCTCCTCTCTCCAGCAGAGCACTCCTGACAGATGAAACTACAGCACTTAACCCTGAGAAGGAAAAACAACAACAAAAACACCCTGAACATTAAATAATTACACAAATCAAAGTGTCACACACATACATAATTTAAAAAATGGCTTTAAAACACTGGTAAATGGATTTAGTGGATTCATAACAACTGTTAGTCGAATCGAGCTGGAATATTTTCCTCAGCTGTTTCTCACATGTAGCACACAACAGGAAATAGCCACTTCTGATGCATCTGCCCTGAATAATATATGGATATAGCACGCAGGAGGCAGCACACACGATGCCCACGTGTTATTAGTGAATGCACCAGCCTGTTACTACTATTGCCACATTGATCCAATCGAACATCACACTTTGTTCCAGGAAGCTGTGCGGTTGAAAGGCGACTAACAAGCATGCACATCTTGCAGTTTCGACACAAGAATGTTTATACATTTTAGGAGAATCAGGTTGGAATATTTTGTCCTTTCTCACATAATGTGTAGCCCACAGCAGGAAATAGCCTGCTTCGGATGTGTTCACACTAATGAAAATACGGAGGGAGCTGCCTGGACAGAGCGTGCAGAAAGCAGCACACATCACACCACTGCACTTAGTTTGCACATCGGTAAATCTGATATGATGTGGATTCTCACATGCACCTCTCTTGACTAAGTCCTGGAAAACATCAGGGCTGGATTGTATGTGTCAAAACGACCTAGTAGAGAGAGACAGCTCTCAGATATAACGTACAGACTACAAAAGCAGCTGATTATGCTTAGAATAGCCAAGCTGCTTACCCTTTCTACTATTAAACAGTATAAACAATCAAAGAGAACAAACCAAAATGCACCCAAGGATTAAAAAAAAATCAGTCTGGTTATATAAAGAGCTGTTCATATCAAAATGATTAAGGGTCTTTTTCTTTATTTCCAGTTGAAAATATACAGAGGTGCGTGCTGATATCAATTCACTTTGGCATAACAGGTTCAGCATATAACAGGTGAGCAAAAGCTCAGGAATACTTTGAGTACTCAATACTTTTCTTCTGCTCTTGGCTCTGCATTATTTCAAAGAGAGTGTCAATGAGAGCTGTGAGCATCTACTGTTTCAACTTTACATTTATGAGGGGCGGCCAATCACAAGGAATTTGGCTTAGAGTAAGAGAAACAGCTTGATTCAGAGCCCAGGAGGTGCACCAAGATGCAGTTTTTAAAAAAATCCTTTTTTAACTTAAACTATCAATCATGTAAAGGTACACTGGTAAAGTCCAAGAAAATACACATGGAACTGGAACAGATCCTTCTGCTTTCAGCTTACTCAGTCCATACCTTACTGGAGTGGCGCAGCTGGTGCGCCTGAGCAGTGGAAGTGGATGTTCTGCCACTTGCTGTCTCTGCGATGCCAGACGCGAGTCTCCTCTGACTGGCTGGACCGCGGCCGACCCTGGCCGTCAACAAACTGAGTCAGGCGGATGTAGGCGATGCAGGCTGCATCCTCGCCGATCAGGTGCACATGGGGGTTCAGGATGGTGGTGTGGATCGGCTTGCTGTTCTTAGCCAAAACTGAAAGGATGATGAAGACAACGTCATCAAATACGATGGCACAACTACAATAATGACAGGACCAGTGTTACTACTGATGATTCAATTTAGTTATATCAATGGAAATTCATTCACAATACCAGGAAGCAGGAAAAAAGTAGGTAAACATACAAAAGCACATATTGTGTTACCAGTACACACTCATCCAAGTGTAAATGTAAGCGCTGCCGTGGAGCATTCGTCTGTATTAATCTCTGTTTGTGGTTTAGGCAAATATGCTTTTCATCAAATGTATCTATTAATCTTACGGTTCTCAAAGTAGAATCTGTGGAAATCCATTCCCTCTACCAGGTTGCCGAGGGCCTCCGGCTCAAATGAAGTCAGTCCAGGGTCGCAGATCTTACTGAAGAGCACACATGAGCGCATTTTAAAGATGCCAAACACTAACTTTAAACCACAGAAACGACATAGTACATACAAAAAGAGACTCACGCGTATGCCTCAAAGTCTCCGTTGTTGATGGCCTCTATCAGCTGTTCGGTTATCTTGATAATTTCTTGCTTGCGTGCTGCAGTGAACATGTACGAGCAAAAGTTATTCAGAGGCAAACACAAGAGCCATCAATGTTAGCTCATTTAACTTCAGGTCATTTAAACACAGTTTTAACTCATTTACACCAAACAGATGCTCCGGCAAAGGCAGTTAGCGCACCAGCTACGCTAGAAAAACTGAGAAAATAAATCAATGAGCAAAGTGTAGCAGCAGCAGGTTAATTCATACACGCCACAGAGACACATACAAGAGGCCGGGTGATCATGTGATCCTGGACACTGTCAAACACACCTTAACATGAGCACACACCAGGCTTCTCTTTATATCACCACAAACCGTGTCACCTATATATTTAAGGGCATAACAGTGAGTCAGCACACACAGATTCTCTGTGCTGTTAGCGGTGCTCTCTGTGCCGCAGCACACAGGAGGTTAATAAGGCTCAGAAGTAAAGTGCATCACATTAAACACAAAGTACTTCACTCCATATACACCTGTTCGCACAATCAGAACACAAACTACCAAACAGGCGCCCTGTGAAATCCTAACACGTCATTTGATAAGGGCTCCTGACTGGATACCATGCGCAGGGTTGGGGTTTGGCTCACTCAGTACTCACTCTGGGAGGAAGACAGGGGAGGGCTGGAGGGGGAGTGAGGGGGAGGTGGGGAAGTGGTGTGTGCATGTGGAGGGGTAGGCCTGGCACTAGGTACCGGCGCCGGCGCGGCATCGACTTCGGGCGCAGGGGCCGCCGGCGCCCTGCGAACGCTGCTTACCAGGTCTGTGAGCCGAGACACTGAGTGCAGTCCAGGCAAGATGGATGGATGGGTGGATGGGTGGATGGGTGATGGAGGAACGCATAGAAACAGATTAAAAACATTGTCAGAAGGTGGTAGAGACAAGGAGAAGAGAGGAATGAATAAACAAGGAAATCCCTTCAGGAACTATAGTTCACTATAACAGTACAGTGAACTTAAATTATACAAAGTAATTTTACAGGCAATCATAGACCATCATAGATCTGCAAGGTTTAGCTGCCTTTGTACGGCAAGATTACACATAAAGTCTTAAGAATGATTTATCATCAGTCTGACATGTTAAAGTGCACATTTATTTAAATAATTAATTAAATGTGTGAAAGGCATATATTTTGAGACTGCATTTTGAGGTCGCTTTAGACGGATAAGCTTTATTTATATCTCTCCTGCAACTATAAAGGTTATTTTTAAAACTGTTAAAGGGACTACAGAAATATCCAGAAAACAGCTGTGAAAAAACAGCAGTTTTAATTCCTCCTCATCTTTCCCAAAATAGCACATGAAAATCAGATCAGTATCAGTGCATCTTTTCATGCATCATCTTGGCAATAAATGAGAGCAAGAGGAAGATGCTAACTTATACACATATTTCTCATTTAGTTTTCTCTGTCTGTTGTCGCTCTTTTCTACTTACTCTGCATGGGGACTACCGGGGTGTGTGGAGGGGAGGGGGCAGAGAGGGCAGAGGGAGGTGGAGTGTTGGCTCTCCCTTCTCCGTCAGCTACGGGCCCTGATCCCCTACGCACTGAGCCCAGCAGGTCAGCGAACTTTGCGGCAGCTGAATTTAGGAACGGAGGAACATGAGGAATGACACTTAAATGTAACCGCATGAATGAAAGTTTGTCTAGGAGAGCACTAAGACAAGCAGTCCTCTCAGACTAATGTGAAAAAAAAAAGATCTATATTTATTTACATGAATATATCAAATGACACATCATTTGATGTAGCGCTATGGTGCTGACTACATTATCAGAGCTCTTCAAGACAAAGTTAAACTCAAACAAAGACAGTGAAAGAAACATAAGACTGGGTTCATGCCAAGAACTGGAAAGCAGTCGCATTGTGTTGTTATTCCATGAACATCCAATTGAGGGAGGCAAAGAGTTGTCCTAATCCTATGTGGTGTAGGTGGCACAAGGTGGGAGGAAGGGACGGTAGAGGAGCGATATGCTACAGAGCACTCTGGTGGTTTATAGAACTTTTCTCTTTTCTGTATTTAAGTTGTTAATTTCAGACTGATGCAGAAATAGAGACAAGGCTTTAGTGGCTCTACACAGCAGCAGATGCATGCTTTTAATATAAGCGAGGACTGTTTTTAATACAAGCAAAACACGCAGAAAGTGATTTAGTCAACTTTTTGAATGCGTTATAGGCATTTGGCGGCCATGCTGACTTACAGTGCACAGCAGCTGAGGAGCTCTGAGAGCTATCAGGTTGGGAGCTTGTGCTGGACTGCGCCTTAAGCGAGCTGTTGTCTAAGCTCTTCCCTAACACACACACACACACACATATATATATATAGAGTGACACCAATCACAAAAGAGATGAGAGCCATATTCATACTTTGCACACAAAAACACAGAAATGTCCCAGTGAGGAACGGTTGGAACTACATATGAGATGGCATGAAGGGGGCAGATGAATGTGATGAGCGCAGTCTGTCTTTACTTTTTCAGAAAAATTACTGCTACTATTTGGCACAGCAGTCTGTCAATAGATTGAGCAAGAGGGGAAAAAAAAGAAGCTTTTTTCTCGTTATCTCAGTTAATGACTCCATTTTGGCAGGATTTACAACTGCGGCTGCCGCTGCATGAGAGGTTTTACTGAGACTTTAATGGGAGTCTTGCCAGTAAGCAGAGGACGGATGATGACAACAGTGATGGCCATGATGATAATGAGAGAGAGTTGGATGTTACTCATTATCGCTTGTCTGTTTAATCAGCTGGCACGCGAACAACTCATTGACAAATAGAGGGAAAGAAAAGGCCCCTGCAGGGAAACAAGGAATTTGCTGCCACTGGAAGTACACCCACTCAAACACAATTACATGAAATTCACAGACCAACTATTAAACAATCCACACCTTCTGCAACAGTAATTTTGACATTTTTCTGTTATCACTAAAATTAGTTGTGCTAAGTACAGAAACCAAGTATAATGAGGGAAAACCAAGAAAAATCTGTCAGTGTGCAACCAACAGTAGGTGACTGACAAGCGATATCTCGGAAGTGCAGAGCATAAATATTCCAGCGATGGACAGTTAATTCAACAGATGTCAAATAAGAAGAATACTGGGATTATTAAATTAACACCCAATAACCCTTCAAATTCTAACACAAAAACATGTAAATTAATGACTGAAAACAGCAATCAGCCCTCAGAAAGCTGCATGCAACATATTCGCTTCTACAGACTTATTGAGGCTAACAAAACAGATATGTACTCAGATGCTCTGAAGGCCAGTGCAGGTGTTGGGTTACAAGCCAGCTGTCGAGCACTGACCTCACAAGAAGATCCTATAAAGCCAAGCGAGAGACAAACTACTCCAACCAAACACGCCACACTCACCTGGTTCTTGTAGTTTTCTCTGAGCAATCTGAGTGTTAGCTCCCTAAGAGCCCTCAAACTATTGCTATCCAAGGGTGGCGCTAGCCGAGCGGTTTGTCTTTAACACCTCTCCGGGAGCTCCGTCTCGGTTTCCTGCCACTGGTGCTAAGTTTAGACACCTCTCCCTTTAGCCCAGACTTCCATCCAAAGGTGTCCTAGCCCCCTCCACTTCTGCCAGAGGGGTGGGGTGGTGGCGCTCCAATTTAGAGTAGGGGGATGATGCAGGAAAAGTACAGTAGTATACAGTACTTCCTTTGTGCATAAAGTTTTTCCAGGCGATACAATGTTCTGTCAAGATGCCCTACCTTCATAACGTTTGTTTTAATGCTAACGTTTAGGCACATCATTTGACATTGGATGACAATTTGACTAAGGTGCAGTACAGAAACACTTCCAATCAGTTCGCTGAAAGATTTCAGACAAATTAATCAAAGCGCCAAAAGACCAAATTTACTGGAACTGCATCAATTTTTTTTTTTTAAAAACTGATAGATTAAAAAGACTAAACCTGCACCCTTCTTGACAGCCAGCCGGGTGCTACACCTCTGTTTATAAAAAGAGTGACTGGAGAAATGTACGATAAAATTACTTCTCGCTTGATTTATGACTTCAATAAACACATTTCTACTGATTTTATGGTCTCAATAATAAATTAGTTTCATGTATCATTTAGTACAACACATTAATTGACTTCAGAGCCATCACAGTAACATGAATCCTAAACTGCACACCTCTGTATGAACCGATCTCCTGGCTCCAGGAGGATATCTGGATCAGGATCAATTTTTGATATTTCCTCTAGAACATCGAGATAATGTCTCCCAACTTTTCTTATTTCAACTTAATAGGTCTTTTTGAATATATGAAGAAAAGGTTAAATCTTCTTTTGAAAAACTTTTAGGATGCATTAACTCGAAACACTAATCACTCCCAACTTGGTGCTAAAATTTTAATTCAAATCCAGCAAGTTGGAGCAAGTTTTGTGCTGGCAAACGCCCCGATCACATCGCTTCCTTGGCAGAGGTAATAAGCAACTATAATAAAAGCATTTGGAGTACTGTTTCCAACATTTTTTTTTCTACGAGACCTACATGATGGCTCTTCTGCGGTTGCTAGGGAATTTGTGACATAGCAGCAAAACCTCTATAGGGAGGAGGAGGAGGACGATGAGGAGGAGGAGATGGAAGCGCACATCCTGTTCTGTATGCTTGGCACCAAAATGAGACATTCATGACCCGATTTAGATGCATTGTACTCAGCTGAGATGTGGAGAACAGGGGTGTTTGAGTGTGTTGGTATAGATAAGCTGAAATTATGCTTTCACAGTAACACAAGAGAAAAACACACACCGAGTGGACACAAAAGGCTAGACACAAAAACACTTTGTGGAGTTATTTGCTGATATGTGTGATACGCCTTTGAAAGAGTGTTTTTTTCCTCTCTCGCAACACTAGCCAAGTGACACACGCACACACAGCCACAACTACACAGCTCCAAAAGCTGACACCCCACACAGGCATGTTGGTATTTAAGGGGTGTGTGCTCCTCAGTATTAAGATTTCAGCCAAACACTTTTGAGCCAAACCACAACAGCATTACAAGGCCTCTTACATTTCACAGCCCTCGTCTCACATCTCAAACACACAAAATCATAACCATACATGTCTTCATTATAGAGCTCCGTGAGGAATCAGTAAGAGGTTAGACGTGAGCCAGATGACTAAATTAGAGCTCATCTACTGCATGTGCACCGCACATGATGTGCATGTAGGACTCTTTTTAAACAATAACCCTTTTAGTACATATAGCATGTGCTGCTCAGCCTTCTGCAAAGCAACAGAATTTTAAATAAATCCAGTCATTACGCTCTTCAGTCCACTCGAAGCCACTATGAAGACAAAGCCGGTCGCATGAGAGTTTGTCAGCAGTTGGCATCAAAAAAACATTTCTGCCCCAAGGCTCGTGATAACACAGTCTAATAAACAAGAGAAGCTCATGCAAAGCAGAGCATGTAAGTATTAAGAGCCTCCCTAGACCCTCAGTACATTTGACTGTAATTTTCAAGCTTTTAAAAATTGTAGCAATTTCATAAAGAGGCATTCATTCAGGTACAATTATGTCAGTAACAAAGAGCAGCTTTCACCGCAAGGAGAATCCATTTTCCCAGCAACTAAAGAGCAATAACAGAGCCTGTCAAAATCCACCATTATGAAGCTGAGAACTTAACAACTGAAAGGCAATCAGCCAAATCTCCAACATATTCCATTAAAGTGCGCTGTCACACGGTTGTCATCGCCTTGTAATGAACAGTTTTAGTGTTTCTGTTGTTTAAAAACTTACTTTTCTGGCTCCTGAAATTTTTGATTACTAGATGCACATTAAGTTCAGCTGTCACACAAGTTGTTCACTGACTGACTGCAGTGACAAACAAAAGCCTGGAAATGTCAAGTGATGATCCAAAACTGGTCAAGACCCCTGGAGTGTTGTGACTTTTCATTCGGAGCAAACAGCTTCTCCTTTTATTTGCAGTCTTACCTTTCACATCTTCGTCCTCCACAGTGGTGTTGCTGCTGTCCGACGATTCCTGGAGATCAGAGATAAACAGTTAGCTAAGGTTCGGCCATGACAGGGCACACATTCGCGCTGAATGCACATGAAGAGGGACGTCACAAGAAGGGCAATGAGACTTGATGTACACAGACACAAGACTGGCCAGCAGGGGGCACCCTATGTTGCCATGTCATGTCTTTACAAACCCAAAACAGCATAAAATACACCAAGACCAGTTACTTACTGTGGATTTAGTTCATAAGCAAAACACAAAATCGAACTGCAAATACGTTAGTTACTATCATCCAGCCTTTGTAACTATTATTTGTTTAATTGTTTTTGCATTAACAATTCAAAAACTTAAAAGTGTCAGTCTATATTTAACCTTTTTACCCTCAAACCTCTTTTCTTCTACTCATGCAGCTTCGTCCTATCTGTGTACTGCGCCAAGTGGACAAATGATGCCTTTGCTTCAGTGGGAGCACTTATATCATGCTAAAACTGACAGAAACTGCTTTCCATTTCAATAATGCTAGTAGACAGAACAGATTCTCACAGGGCGATATGTTGTCATCTTAATCAGGGGCTGCATCCCTCAAATCTAATCATCTACCCGTCTGCCTGCTTGCCTGCCTGGCTGGCTGTCTCCCTCTTCTTAGGCTTTTGCCAGAGGAGGAGTTTCTCATTTCCAATTAGAAGATTAAATGGGCCTAAATTCCCCTGCATGAAGAGTTGAGAGACTCTGTGACCTCATTAGAAGCATGCACGTGTGCTAACAGCCTCACGAGCACAAAGCACCAAAGTGGTTTCATACATAGCCTTTTAAAGAGCAGCTGGTGGCCTGACCGGAGAGGAAGAGCGAAAAGAAAAACTGTTTTCATGTGAATGCGAAGGAAAGAAGTGTGGAAAGGATTGTCAACTATTTGAAATATAATTAAAAGTGTGATTACGCCTACAGTTTGTTTTCTTTGGTTTGAATCATTGAGATGTTTCCTGTAACATTCTGCATCTTATTCGTTTTGTTTGTCCCTCCTTTGAAAACTATTCATTGTGTAAATATGGTGAATTTATTTTCTTTGTTCTTTTATGCGACATTCATTTCTCGGGTCACATATTGAAGCCTCGCATTTACTTGATCTCGACTCCTCTTTATTGTTGCCTCACAAAGTCCAGAATCTATCAAACTTAACTTACCAGATGGACAGAGCTGAGTGAGTAAGTGCTAAAGAGGTCAAGTGTGCTTCTTTAAACCAGGTGGGTGTGAAAACATAAACTGCACTGAAGACTAATCTTCCACATACTTTCATCGCCTTCCTGCATAGCCTCTGTTTGAGCTTGGAGAGTGAGAATTCAAAGTCATGTACTGTATTTCACACATATAACTGACCCACAATCAAAAGATCACTGCGCTTTATTAAAAAACATGAATATCTCTTTCAAACAAAGTTCTGCTACTTCTCACTTTGGGTATAACAACTCGGGAAAAACACCTCAGTCATGCCTATGAGGAAGTGATCTTACTGCAAAGGCATGCATGTTCATGCACAAGCTATAAACACATACACATTCACACTGGTTACACCAGCAACTTTTAAGAGATTATATGACAGTAAGAGAGGGTACAACAAGACACCATCAGTCAGTATAATGCAAATAAAAAGTTTTACCTATATCATATATATAAATAAATTACAATGCTGAATGCTGAATATAACAGTCTTAAAGATCCAAAGACACCAGTCTCAGGTTCCATTCATTGGCTAAAATATAACATCTGAGCTCAAACATGACATCTAAGCTTATAAGGACTGCCACTATTCTCACTTGACTAGACATTAAGTATAGTTAGAATTCCCTTAATCCTAATACATGCGTGTGTTGAGGTCCCCCTTGGTGGCAGACTAACACAAGTTTGGTTGTTGGGGTAAACAACATTCGCTACCTAGCACCTGTTCCCTTCAGACAGACTTTTATCTGAGATTAATATTTAGTTACACACATAGACAAGTGCACAAAGCCATGTTGCACTCGCACAGATGCAGCATGAAAAGAAATATCAAAGGAGAGGAGAAGATAAGGAAGAGGAGGAGAATGACAGAGCAGGAGAAAGAAGAGGTCTGGACTGGGGAATGACGTATACCTTTGTCCTGTCCACCGGATTATGGATGACAGTTGTCTGAGGTTCCTGGAGGAAGAGGAAAATGAGGAGGGGAGATGAAGGAAGATGAAATAAAAGAGAGCAAGTAAAGAAAAAGTGGAAGAGAAAGAGAGGGAGGGAAAGGAAGAGAGCAGAATTTGACATAAACGTAAATATAAATGAACCAAGTGTACCAGAAAGAGTGACATGAATGTTGTATGAAGAGAAAGTGCTTGTTAAGGATGGCAGAAAAGAGAGGTCATAGAGTGGGTGGATGAACTGAAAACTGTAATTTGGAGTCAGTTCTGTTGCCTGTACACACACACACACACACACACACACACACACACACACACACACACACACACACACACACACACA